TGTGTGTGTGTGTGTCTCTGATCAATATGTTTCTGTTTTCAGTTTGTGTGTGTTCATTAATAACGAGTGTGTGGCTCATTGATCGCTGTCAGCCGATAGCTGATTGATTTCTAAATGAAAACACGCTGCTCATTGGTTACTGGGGAAACACTGATTGGCACGTTTTCAGCAAAATGAAATTAAAGGACATTAAATCATGTTACTGTGGGTTTGATTTCCTAAAGACATGAACATGAAGGTGGACTTCAGCGTCTTCAGCAGAACGCTGTGAATAACAAAATATGACTTTTTATGAAAACATGTTCCGCCACAACTTCTCCAGTAAAATTTAACTTGGTGAAATATTACAGCCTTGTTCAACAAAAGTACAATTTATTAGAACTTTTCTATCAAACTACTCAGACTAAACAAAATATTACAACTTATTGTGAGCAAAATGATTTTTAAACAGAATATAAGTCCTCATTTCTGTGAAGATTTATTACAGCTGCTCTAGAAAACCGTTGGCCCCTAACAAATAGTACTTTTTAGCAAAATATTAAAGCTTTTTAAATGAAATAACCGTAACACTTTGTCTAGTGAAATGCTGCCACTTTTAAACAAAATACTAAAACTCATGACTTTTTGTTTATTTGTTCTTAAGTTTAGGATTAAAATGAGACTTTTAAACCGAGGACGAGCTGTGATGAAACCAGAAGATTGGTGTTTGTCTGATTGTGGTTCTTCATCTCTTCTTTCTTTTTTCTCCTCTTTTCTCACGCTGCTCTCTGACGGATTCACCTTCATCACTTCATCACTTCATCACTTCATCAGGCTGCCGTCAGTCAAACATGGGTTCATGCAGTTGCGTTTCATTCATTCATCCTCCTCAGTTTCTTCTTCTCTGTTTTCTGTTTGAGCACCAAGTCCTCACATTTAGTCTAAGAGTCTTACAGCTGATTGTCTTCAGACGCGTCGTTCTTCTCCACCAGTTTACAGAAACATGTCCGAACATCAACACTTCAGTGAGACCACAAGTCTTTTTACTAAATGTGTAAAAATGTCACTGCACATACAAGCTGAGTGTAGTTTTGTTATCTTCACTTTGCTCTGACGTTTGTAATGTTTGATTCAGAACTTTTCTCATGGAAACCTTTTGCCTGTTGTGCTGATTTTCCTGGTGGAGAATTTTCACAGAATGACGACTCGGCTCAGCTGCACATGAACGATCCTGTTAGACGCTCTGGACTTGGTGTTTGAACTCTGTCATTCCGGCTGATGGTTGCAGGTTTCTGTTTTTGTGCTCGTAGAGAAAAGTGTGAATGAAAAGGTTAAAAGTACAACTGATCGCTCGGTTACAGATCAGGACTCAAATAGAGACAAGAACCTGAAAACTCCTGAAACTGAAACCAGAGAGCAAGTTCAGCTCAGCATTCAGGGATGAGGTTTAAAATCTAAAAGTATCTGCAGATACTGTCTCCCAGAACATCACAGCTTCTCTGGGGTGAAATCTCAGGTTATCTGCAATAGTATGACCGGTTTTCCACAGAAATGGAGTTTTCTAGCAGTAGAAGGTCCTGATCTGTGATGAGCGACGAGTTACTAATGTTTCTGTAACGCTAACTTTAGCATTAGCCGCTAGCTTTTTTTAGCCCGTGAAGAAACTTGATTATTGATCATATTTCAGCTTTGACGCTTCGATCAAGATCTTATCAGATCTTATTGATCTCCTCACAGCAGCAGCTACACCACCACATCCCATATTGCATCTGTGAAGTGCTGCTAGTTCCAGCAGCATTCAAATGATCTGGGAAACCTTAAACACCGGCAGCTCAGTTTAGATATGAAGTGTCAGAGACATGAAGTAGTCGTCTTCAGGCTCCAGGTTAGCGTTGCAAAAAGAAAGATTTTAGTGAATAATGATCAGTTTCTTGACCAGCTTCGTTTTTATTCTAATGTCAGAAGACACCGAACTGTACAGAAAAATACAAATATGGCATCTACATGTAAAGCTTTGGGTTCTAACATGTAATTTGAAGTTTATTCCCACATTATCTGAATGTAGTTTCTCACTGAAGACCGCCTCCTGCCCCTAACTGGCTGCCTCAGCCATGACGGACAGTTCTAACGTCATGTCTTTGCACCGCCCACAGCTACGGAAGGTGGAGAGGGACAAGAAGACGATGGACCAGGAGATTGTGGAGCTCACCAACAAACTGCTGGACGCTAAAAACACCATCGACCGGCTGGAGGAGCTGAACGTGAGAAAAACACAGTTCTATGTGGAACCTTGAGCTAGTGAAGCTGGATTCAGTGTTTACAGCGAGTTCATCACACATCAGAGCTGTTCAACAGTAAACTCAAGTCAGTTCATGGAAACCCCAGTTCGGACGGGTTTCCAGTCTGCCAGGTTTAACCACATTACACTCACTAATGAAACAGGATTCACTGCTTTAACTGAGCTCTGAGGTTTCATTCACATTTTATTTCACTTGAATCACATGCTTTGTATATTTACCAGTTATTTAAAGACATCGCCTGAAACTTTTCTCGTATTTCATGTGATTTTTCTGATGCGTTTCTTCAGGTTTCTCTTGTACGCATGTTTGAATCAGTTTGATGCTCCGATCCACATAAGAACCACCCGATCACTAATCAACCGATCACTAATCAATGAACTGTGTGTGTTCAGGAGCGGTACAGACAGGACTGCAACCTGGCAGTGCAGCTGCTCAAATGCAACAAGTCGCATTTCAGGAACCACAAGTTCGCTGACGTAAGTGTGTGTGTGTGTGTGTGTGTGTGTGTGTGTGTGTGTGTGTGTGTGTGTGTGTGTGTGTGTGTGTGTGTGTGTGTGGATGAGGACACACGGTTCGATCAGTGAGGGTCCTCACTAAGATACAAACCTTCGTGTGTGTTGTTGCAGTTGCCGTCGGAGCTGCAGGACATGTTGAACAAACACATGAAGAGCAGCCTACCTGAGCGAGGCTCCGCCCCCCAGGACCCGGACACGCTCAGTCTGACGCCCGCCGATGTCGTACCGACCTCCGTCATCGCTCGCGTCTTGGAGAAACCCGAGCCCCTGGTGCTGAACTCGGCCCAGTCCAGCAGCTGCGGCCGACCCGTCGCCGAAGACGTCTTCGTGCACGTGGACATGACTGGTTCGGCGAGCGGTGCCGAGGGCCGCGCTGGTCGAGAGAACGGTGGCCGCGAAGCATCGCAGCAGAACGGCTCGTGTCGCAGTCAGAGCAGCCTGGACGAAGAGGGGGGCGGAGCCTCATCCTTCGAGAAGCTGAACCCGTACCCGGCTCCGCCCCCGCCTCACCCCCTCTACCCTGGGCGCAAGGTCATTGAGTTCTCGTCCGATGACAAAGTCAAGATCCCCAAAAACTCCCCGCTGCCCAACTGCACCTACGCCACGCGGCAGGCGATATCGCTGAGCCTGGTGCAGAACGACGACGAGCGGCTGGCGCCCGGGAGCCCCGCCCCCTCTTCCTCCTCTGGGGGCGGAGCCACCCAGCGCACTCCGCCATCGCAGCGTGACGCAGCCAGCGAGCCACTGTCCAGCCAGTCTAGCCCGTTCAGCAGCCCGCCACAGGTAAGCCCCGCCCACCGCACAGCTTCCAGTCTCACAGCCAATCAGGGCTCAGGTCCTGTGTGAGGTCACAGTGTCGCATTTCACATGTCGCTGTTGAATGATGCTTAACCCCGCCTCCGCAGGCGCCCAGCGTCATGGCGAGCTCCGGCAGTTCGGAGGAGGACCTGCTCGCCAACTGGCAGCGCATGTTCGTGGAGAAGATGGCGCCGGCGTGCGACGGCTCGCTGGTGCATCGCACGTCCTTCAGCAGCCAAACGGCACAGGAGCTGCAGCGCCGGAGGCCAGCGGCGGGGGGCGGGGCCTCCTCCTCGGACCACCACCGGGCCGCATACTCAGACGGCGAGGAGGGCTCGTCGGCGCGGAGCTGGACACCGAGCCGTGGCTCAAGCCTCGACACCGACACCGACACAGAGCCGCGGCCTGGCAGGAGGGGGCGCTATGACGACGCCTCCCCCGAGGAAGGGGAGGGGCTGCTGATGAACCTCGAGGATGACGGTGGCAGCGGCGACACTGCGGTCACCGTGGTAACAGGCCCAGCCAGCACCCGCAGGAAGGACGAGGAAGACGAGGAGGACGAGAGCTCCACCGAGGAGAGAGACGTCCTCCCCCACGACCTGCCCGTCATCTCGCCCCGCCTCCTCGACTTTGACCCCGCCCTCAACGCCGCCGCGGCCATGCCGCAGCGTCCGCAGAAGAGCCCGAAGAGGATGGGCGTGCATCACCTGCACCGCAAGGACAGCCTGACGCGAGCGCAGGAGCACGGCACGCTGCTCGACTGACACGTCTCCATGGCAACGGACCTGTCCGTCACTGAGCGACAGGCCACGCCCATCCAGGATATAGCCATACTCTAACGTATGCTGCGCAGCCTCATCTGTGTGTGTGTGTGTGTGTGTGTGTGTGTGTGTGTGTGTGTGTGTGAGAGAGAGGGAAGAGAGCGACAAATCACATGGTGTCCATATACTTTTGACATTGTAGTGCACGCTGAGTGCACGTTTACATACCAGTATGAATACATGTCCAAAAGTATGTGGACAGCAGAGTTAAATCAACGTAATCAGTGTTAAAATCAGTATGAACCTTCAGTGAGTCAATCAATCAGCTCTAATGATGTTGATCAGCTAGTTGATTAGTCTCTGTATCAGTGATTTAAATTTCAGTTGGTGTTTAACTTTTACACAAACAGAAACATTTATTTTTATGTCCTAAAATTAGGTTCTGACAGTGTTTTTACAGAAAATCTGAAAATTATTCAAAATGCAAACAAAAAAAAACTCCATAATGCAAACTACACACTCAGACTGCTGTGTCAGAATCAGAGAAAACTGAACCTACTATTTAAATTAATACATAAAATGTGGATGTTAGATTAAAAAAAACAAAAAAACAAAAAAAAAAAAACAGAAATGCAGAAACAGTTTGTGTGGTAGCAGTGATCAGGTGTCCACATATTTACATCTACCTGTATGCGCCTTGTTCAGGTGTCTGCATACCAACGTAGCGTACATGTCCAAGAGTATAACGACCCCTCATAAGAAGACAACACATTGGTTAGTAGGAACTAAAATTAGAATAAATAAATAACCCCTGTGTGTGTGTTTGTGTGTGTGTGTGTGTGTGTGCTTGTGTGTGGTTGTTTTTCTCACAGTCGAAAAAAAGAAACTTACACAAACTGAAAACTTTACGGACGTCTTTGCCTTCTTTCCTGGCCAGGAGCTTTTATTTGGATGGTCAGACTTTTATTTTGACATGTTATTTAGTCAGCTGATTGGTTTGCCCTTTGACCCCCTCCCCCCACTGTGACTGTACCTGTGGGGGCGGGGCCGGGGGAGGAGCTTTTCCACACCTGGAATGTAACGTTTTTGTTGTTTTTGTTGTTTTGTTTTGTTGTTGTGAAATCTGAGTGTTGATCCGTTATTACAGGATAATATTATTATTGTTTAGTTTCATTGATTTGTTGTTTTTCTGATCACTTTGTGTTTTTATGTTCTTGTCTACGGAGGCCTGTAGGTGCCACAAACGGAGCAATTATCACCTTTGATCATTTGGTCTCTGTTCAAAGTTTGAAAAATGTAAATCTGTTGCCTGCACAATGATCAGAAACAGATGCAGCGCCGCGGCTGCAGCGCCCCCTGCTGCACCGGAGCAGCTCTCGGTTTGTGGCACCTCCGAGCCTCCACACGGTGGCGCTCAGTCTCTTCTTCTCTGACGTCGTAGATCGAATGTCGGCTCGTTGCCTCCTCACAGCTCTCTGATTGTGACTCAACAAGGATCAGTAATGGAGTCATTGATCCACTGACTGACTGACTGATTGAAAATCGATCAGTGCTTGACGGTTTAGTTCCTCTTCGCACCGGACAGTTTGTTTCCAGGAAGAAGTTTCCCAGTCGTGTTTTCACAGGAGGTGTCCGAGTATTGACCAGCGTGACGCGCTGATGCTCGACTGTGTTGAAAGTCTTGATCACTGAATGTCTTCTGGTTTCATTCAGAGTTTAGATTAAAGCTTCAGTCTGAAGCTGCAACAGATGATTTCTTTCTGATTGTTGGCCGCGGTTTTTATTTGATCAGTCGATCATTGATCACTGGTTTTGTCTCGATGTTTTGTCCAGAAACCAAAGACTTTCAGTTCACCACAAATCAAAACTGAATTCATAAACATTTTACACTTTTCTGTGAAGAGTAAAGCGATCGGCTGATCGACTAAATGATTGATCAGTTCATCTGTTTAATCAGCCGAAGAAACTGAACACGAAGCAGAAACACGCAAAGCAACCTGCTCAGAAACCAGAGAGAACCGTTCAGAACCCCATTCAGAACCTTTCCTTCCCTCCTGCTGCTTTCATGCAGCCAGACCGGCTGAAGACGTGAAGCTGTCACAGTTCATGATGGGATGCAGAGTCCTGATCAGCGTGTCTTTGAGCACACACCGTTTGTGTGGAGCTTTTCCTACCACATGGTCGTCCTCAGCAGCTGTTCACGGGATGTTCAGGTGACTTCCTGTCTGCAGGTGTAAATTAAACATGGCGGTTGGCTCCTTTAAGAGCTCCGAGCTGCTCAAACATTTAGAACCTTTTCTTCCTCCTGCAGCGGCTGAAAATCCCACGCTGATGCAGACACTCGAACTCACCGCTGCTCCTGTTTCAGCTGCTGTTAAATTATTCACTTTTTTCCGTCTCAGTAATACTTCACACAGTCTGAATGTGTGCTGGTTCTTATGTCTTTGTGAGGACTCTGGACAGCTTGAAGGTCTCACCTGGTTCAGGATTTAGGTTCCCGTCCAGGTGGTTCATGTGACCGATGGTCCTCACAAAGACACAGACGCCTGATTTGGAAATGTTTGTCTTTGTGAGGACAGGTATCAGTTTGAGACCATGTGGAGACGTTCCTGCCTTGTGGGGACCCTGAGTCTGGTCCTCACTTCATATTCAGGTCAGACAGGTAGTTCATCATGTGACTGATGGTCCTCACAAAGACAGAAAGACCACAGTGTGTGAATGTGTGTTAAATATTTGATCTGAGTCATCAGATGTTCAGGAAGAGAGACGAGTGTGTGTGTTAGCGTGTGCTAGCGTGTCGTACTGCGGGTATAAATAGCTGCTACATCTGGACTCGTGCATCTTTAATGTTTCTCCTTCATGAATATAATTGTGGTCGTCTGAGCCTCCATCACTGCTCCTCTTTTCTCCTTCATCCTGTTCATCTTTATTCTTCTTTATTTCTTCTTCATGTCTCTTTGTCTTTCTGGTTTCCTCCTCTTCCTCCACCACCTTTTCTTCTTCTTCTCCTCCCTCAGATGTTTGATTCATTCTGTTTTCTGCTGTCTGACTGTGGAAGACCATGTGGTGAAGTTGAAAGCTCCTGAACTCTGCAGGTTTCTGGATCTAAACTCATGTATTGATAAGTTATTGCTCTTTACTAGTCACTTTAATTATTACCAGTTTATTGGTAGTCTGATTACAGCAACTGTTGGCAGATCAGCTGTTAGTTACAACAATCAAAGAACTGTTTATCAGAGTTGTTCTGATCTGATATCATAGTTTAGAATCGGGCCAATCGGTACCTTTTGTAACTGGTCTGTGTCGAACATCAGTCCGATTCTTAGTGTACGTCTGCTGTTGCACTGGTGTCTGAAATGGAGTCAGTGTGTATCCGGACACTAATGTATTTGTTTCCTTATTACTTTACATTAATTATGAATTACGTTACACTAATTGAACAGTTTTAATTTGTTTTACTCTGTTGTGTCTAAAATTCCAAAGACTCCTGATCTGGTCCACAGTCTGTTCTGTTCCTTCTGTCACTGTGATTCAGGAACTCTGTTCATCACCTGTAGTTGGAGGTCATCAACCTCCATATTGGTCTCTGTCATGGTCCCGTTGTTGCTAAACTCCCACAATGCTCTCTGCTGCCAACATGAACTGTAGTCTGAGTGACGCCTCCTCTGGTCTCTACAGGATTAAACAATTAAACAGTAAGAGGCTCCACCTGGTGGAACAACCAGGTACTGCAGCTGATCTATGATACATTTACTGACATCATGGAGAGAACACAGGTTTTCTCCATCTGCTGGAGCCTCAGAACATCCACCATCTAACTCTACATCTACCCTCTACCACAACATCCTACCCTCTAACTCTACATCTACCCTCTACCACAACATCTACCCTCTAACTCTACATCTACCCTCTAACTCTACATCTACCCTCTAACTCTACATCTACCCTCTAACACAACATCTACCCTCTAACCCTACATCTACCCTCTGACTCTACATCTACCCTCTAACTCTACATCTACCCTCTAACACAACATCTACCCTCTAACCCTACATCTAGACAGGGTTCTGCTGGAGCTTAACAACAAGGTTTGTCAGGGCAATGGTATCGGATTGGGCCTCAGTATCAGCAGATACTGAATATTAAATGATGTATATCTGATGGGGACGTCCCTACTTCTTTTTCTTTGTTAGCAGCCTCCCTTTCAGATTAAAAGCTGTGGTTCTCTGCTGATCTGAGGTCAGTTAAATGCACTCTGCCTCCTGTTTAAAACACTGTGTCCCAGCATGCATCACTGTAAAGTCTGGAGTCTGAATGTGACACTAAAGTAGAAAACTCAGACGTCGAATAAGTTTTCTGACTGCACATTTATCTCAAGCGCATCCTGAGTTATTCAGCAGTTTGTTTCTGGACACTAAACTCTGAGACAAATAATTCTGATTTGGATTCATGTCGACATGAGACACGTGTGTTTTCTTTTTCACGCCAACATTCGTGTCTGAAGAAAGACTCAGAATGTGATCTCAGTCTAAGAGTCGAATGTTCCATGTTTGGATGAGTTTGAATGAAACATGCAGGACTCTGCATCACCGCCTCAAATTAAAAATCCAGATGTTTGTTTTTTTTTTGATGAAAAAGCAAACGTTTGTATCTCATCTCGTCTGATTAACGTTAAAGATTTGAGATTGTTTGCTTCGGGGTTGGAAACAGGAACCACATCAGTCGTAGTTGCGACTCTGAACGTTCACAGAACTGAAGCTGAGGATCATCGCCGCCGCCAGGAGGGCGGAGCCTCCTCATGGTAGGCTCACCTGAGGATGAACGTACTGTGGAACGCTAACAAACCTGTTTCAGCGTGATGTTCAGGTGATTGTAGCCCCACCTCCCCGCTCTCCACCCACAGGTGCTGCCGGCCGCGGTTTGTTTCATCGCAGAGAAAAAGACTGTTAAACTCTACTAATGATTTTATTTTCTCAATTTGTAAACCGATGTATATTTTAAAACAAATAAAGTATTTTAAACTTAGCTCCGCCTTTTGTGTTACATCAGAAAACTGGTTGAGCTCAGGTGTCTCTGAGGCCCCGCCCACACTCACCTGGGCTTACTGTGTTATACCTCAGGCTACTAATGGTACCGTTTTTAATTAGGGTCCGAGCACACCAGTGCAAGGACCCTATTGTAACCGTTGTGATTATTATTAGGGTCCGAGCACCAAAGGGTG